ATTCTATGGGCAAAACATTGAATGATGCAGAAAGCATTAAAAGAAGATGGAAGAAATGCAAAGTCACTGTACCACAAAGAGATGGTCCATATTCAATTGTTTCAAGAGGGAGCATATAAACAAGAGCCAATGATACTGTAGGAAGAAGTTCAAGGTGCTCTGAGAGAACTGGCAAAGAACCAGGCTCCAGGAATTGATGGAAGATAAACTGAAATCTTTCAGCAAAGTGAGGTGGCACAAGAGGCACTCATTCATCTATGCCAAGAAACTTGCAACAACTACCTGGCCAACTGATTGGAAGAGATCCATATTTGTGCCCATTCCAAAGAGATGTAAGGAGCTCTGGTAGCGTAATGGCTACGAATTGGGCTGCGAACATTAAGGTCAACTACCAGCCTCTTTGCGGAAGAAAGATGAGGCTTTCTGCTCCCATTAAGATTTACAGCCTCGGAAACCCTGTACAGGGTCGCAACCGACTCGACGGCATTTAACAACAACAACAAAGAGATGTGACCCAACAGAATGTGGAAATCATAGGACAGTATCATTAATATCACAAGTAAAATTTTGTTAAAGATAATCCAAAATCGTCTGCAATAGTACGTTGACAGTGAACTGCCAGAGGCTCAAGCTGGACTCAGGCAAGGGCATGGAACGAGTAATATCATTACTAATATCAGATGAATCTTGGCTCAAAGCAGAGAATACCAGAAAAATGTTTATCTGTGCTTTATTGACTATGCAAAGGCTTTTGACTTTGTGGTTCACGACAAGCTACAGGCAGCACTGTGAATAATGAGTGTTCTGGAACACTTAATTGTGCTCATGAGGAACCTGTACATAGGCCAAGAGGCAGCCGGTAGAACAGAACAAGGGGACACCGAATGGTTTAAAATTAGGAAAGGTATGCACCAGGGCTGTATTCTTTCACCATACCTATTCAATCTGCATACTGAGCAAATAATTTAAGAAACTGGATTATATGAAGAAGAACATGACATCAGACTGGAGGAAGACTCATGAACAAGCTTTGATATATAGATGACACAACCTTGTTTGCTGAAAGCGAAGGGCTTACTGATGAAGAACAAAGACCACAGTATTTGTATGGGTTGCACCTCAATGTAGAGAAAACAAAATTCTTAACACTGGACCAATAAGCAACATGATGATAAACAGAGAAAGACTGAAGTTGGTCACAGACTTCATTTTGCTCAGATCAACCATCAACACTCACGGAAGCAGTAGTCAAGAAATCAAATAATGTATTGCACTAGGCAAATCTGCTGCACAAGACCTCTTTAAAGTGTTCAATAGCAAAGATATCAGTTTGAGGACTAAGGTACACCTGATCCAAAACCATGGTATTTTTAACTGCCTCATACATGTATGTAAAAGCTTTACAACGAATAGAGAAGACTGTAGAAGAATTGATGCATTTGATTGTTGGAGGAGAATATTAAAAGTATAATGGACTGCCAAAAGAACAAACAAGTCTGTGTTGGAAAAAGTACAGCCACAATGCTCCTTAGAAGCCAGGATGGCCAGACTTATCTCTCATAGTTCGGATATATTGTCAGAAGGGACCAATCCGTGGAAAAGGACATCATGCTTGTTAAAGTGGAGGGTCAGCAGAAAAGAGGAAGACCCCCAATGAAATGGATTGGCACAGTGGCAGCAGCAATTTGCTCAAGCATAACAATGGCTGTGAGGATGGTTTAGGACTGCGCAGTGTTTCGTTTTGTTTTGCATAAAATTGCTATGCGTTAGTACCGATTTGATGGCATCTAACAACACAGAAGTCATATTCGTGACTAGCAAAAGGAGGCCTGGTAATGTAGTGGGTTATGAGCTGCTGTTAATCGCAAGGTCAGCATTTCTAATCTACGAGCTACTTTGACGGAGAAAGAAAAGGCATTCTGCTCAGGTAAAGATTTACTCTTGGACACCCTATACAGGGTTACTATGATTCGAAAGCAATTTGATGGCACACAGCAACCCAACACTAACAACAGCAAAAAGGCAGTTTCACCTCAGAGTTTTCTCTGTTTTTATTAAATCTTAATCCTTTAAATATTCTGTGGGGCAAAATTAGCAGTGCAAACCCAGCAATTCTGTTCCATCCTTTAAGTCCAATGATTGTTTCAAGGAAAGTACATGTGCCAATGAACTGGGAGCTGAACACAATTTTTTTTTTTTTTTTTAAAGGACTGATAACTACACTACGGCTATTCAGACTAGTGTTTGAATTACTGGATTCTACATTCCAACTGGAGTCCTGGTGTGGCGCTGTGGGTTAATGCGCCAGACTGCAAAGCTGTTTGAACTGCTGGCCAGGCGGTTCAAGCTTACCAGTTGCTGCTTGGAAACCCTATACAGGGTCGCTATGGGTCGGAACCGACTTGATGGCAGTTAATAACAACATTCCAACTAAGTTTTCAGACACTACCACTTGCTAAGCTTTGGTGTACTAACAAAAAATAGTCACAATTTTCAAGAAGTCTATGAAAATATTCTGTTTTTCTAATCACCTATCTGGGAGAACCTGTTTTCCTTATATACTCCAACCAAAACAACATATGACAGAATAATGCAAAAGTACATGGTTCTTTAAGAAAAGTCTGTTCCCACTGCTGTAAGCAAACCCCAAATATGCAAGCAGAAGAGAAAATCCATGAGTTTAGCATAGTCTACATTCCTCAGTTCTT